TTGCGGGAGCCTTCTCCTCAGCTGAATCCGAATCACTTGACGATGATGCAGCTTTCTTTTGTGCACCTGTCGTCATTGCTGGTTTCACTGCAGGTTTTGCAGCGGGTTTCTGAAGATAATTCTAGCGAGACGGTAACTAGTACACCTAAGATACCGCAAATTACCTTAGAAACTTCTTCACTAGAATCAGAGTCGCTAGAAGAAGAAGAAGAAGCTTTCTTTGTAGACATAGCGGAAACTTTCACTGGAGCTTTTGCTGGCGTTGTCTAAAAAAAACGAAAATAGGCTTTAAAATATTATAAAATGGTTACTTACAGGTTTAGCCTGCGGTTTCTCGTCCGAATCAGAATCCGAGCTGGATGATGAAGACTCCTTTTTCTGGGTCATTGCTGGCTTGACATTGGTTTTTGCTGGAGTTGCCTTAATAGAATTGCTTTCTGGATCATGTTATTACGTAGTGTGTAAGAAAATATTTACCTTTGCTATTGGCTTTTTAGCAGCTGGCTTCGCAGTATCCGAGTCGGAAGATGAAGATGAATCTGACGACCCGGCTTGCCGTTTTAGCCCGTTCAAAGCAGATTTGCCATTTGGTACCTTAAACAGTGGAAACACATATAGGAAAACACTGTGGAAAAGTGTCTCCAAATATTACCGCTGGTAAATTGAAATATTTCACAAAAATAAGATACAAGACACATATGATGTTGCCGCATCTTGATACGCTAGGCAAACGTAAATGATAAAATGACCATCGTACTAGAAAAGAACAAATGCTAAGGTAAAGAATTTCGATTTTTCAAAAGTCAATTACAATGACCAGCGGTGAACAATAAGAGGTCCAAAGACTGAGCAGAACCTTTTTTATCATCCCTTCACGCTGAGAGCGGTTCAAGACGCAAACAAAGGCGTCCAATTATGCTTAGATTGAAATTTATGGCATTTTGTACTCAAACTAGCTCTCCTCTTGACCCAATAGAAGAGCTACTTACATCAAATCACATTTAGATGTTATTCCAAATAAAGTATCGAAACAAAACTGTAACACAAGTCCCATTTGTGGTGAGACGCTTTTTGGCTGAATTTGAAGGATTCACCTTCCTAAGTTTATTATGTCAACTTCAAAATGATCTATACACAAATCAAACAAGATTAAACTAAATTTGATCTTTGGAGTAATGTTCGAAATAATGGAGATGGATAGATTTGATTGAAAGTTACGACGCACCGCAAACGCAGTTATATTGGAACAAATTGGAAACCGAGACTCCACTAATTTGCGTTAATCTTTAGCTTTTGGGATAAGAAATTCGCAAAGAAAACTGCTAGAATAGCCTTGAAGTTAACAAATACTTGCCAATTCCTTCATTTTTGCATGTTCATCGTCTGATGATGAATCTGAAGAACTGTCAACGGTCGCTTTTTTCTTGGCTGCAGGTCCTGTTGTTGCCGAAGCAGGCCGCTTCCGGCTTGTTAGATAGAT